TAACTCATCTATGATTATCCAACCTTGACCAAGAAATTCTGATATTTCAAGTGTATCAATATATCGCATCATTTCCCGTCATCCCCCCAAAAATATCTTCATTTACTCCTTACCTTGTGGTTCATTCCACTTAGTAAGTAGGTTATAACCCTAGTTAGAGGTGGATTAACCCTACGCACTGAAATCAACATGGTTTAACCATGTTTAACCTACCTACGATCCGTGGGAACCACCGAGTAAGGCATGCCCCGTCCCCACCTTGAAATCTCACCGCAGCTTTTCTGCAGGCGCTATAGTCCAGACGTGGAGCCGGCTGTGGAGCCAGGTGAAGCTCTAAAGATTCGCCGCCAGTCTTCACCTGAGCAAAGATATATATATATATATATTTGCATATATATATATACAATTATATAATATAATATATATGTATATATATATATGATGCCTGATGTATGATATGTTAAAAACATAATGTATAATGCAATAAACATATATGTAAGACATGGGGATGTATGATACATGTTTACCAAAAAAACAGGTTTAATTTAACAACCAATAGAAAATAAAGTTGAGAGACAAAACATGTATTTTGCAAAACAAATGGGGAGTTAAATGGAGTTAACCAATAAAAAATCGAAGATGCCGGGTCAAAATATGCCGAGTCAAAATCTTGTCTGGAGATGTTCTTTCTTCAAATATGGTTGAAAATCACCAGTCAACCAGACCACTCTTTCACCAACTGAAACAATCAGATGGAAGCATCACAGATCAGCTTAGGGAATGCACGTCAAGTCGAGAAATTGGACCATTGATAAATAGGAAAGTCATCCGAGAACAGTGATGCAAATGCTTGCAACCAATGATGATTGTGTGGAATGGCAGTTCATGCCAGTGCACCTGCTTTTGTTTCGACTGGCAATCTTGCTTGATGCTCCTGTAGGGAAATTCAGTGCTCAAGATACGAGTTCCACCAAATGGTTCCGTGTGGGTGTCCTCAGGCTGGAAAATAAATACAACACATTTGAAACCACCAGTTTCGGTTGGTCACACTCCGTTCAATATCAATGTTCTAATCACCATAAACCCCTATTAACCCTACAAAGTGGGGCCCCCAAACGATAGCTAAGTTGTTTATATATATAACTCCAATTTCACTATGGTATATAATGTTTATAACTATAGTTTTCGTGTTTTTTAAACCAACAAACATCACTGCGGGGGGGGGGGGTCACATCGCCCAGGCCAGGCACGATATGGGTGAAATGCATAGGGACGCTCTGGTTGAAGACTTGCACTGGGATCCTGAGCTACTGTCACTGTGGTTACCATGTTCTCATGGTGAATCATGGAAAATACGGTCATAACATGTTAATAGTAAAGAACAATCATTGCAACATGCTTATAATTTTATAGTTTATCAATCTTATAGCAATCTTACCCTTCGACTATAATCATGGTAGATGTCAATAGTATTCAATAGTAACAATCATTCTCAATCTCCTGCTGTTTTTTTTTTAAACCTGCCTTCTGAGACTCAGATGGCGGTTTCCTAAGAAACCGACCGTGCGGTGGTGCGGTGGTGCCCCCGTGGCCACAAAAACGCAAAAAGTTGGTGATGATTGGCCGATCGGTGAATTCCATGATTTATGGCATATTGAAATTGCTAATATATGATGAATCTCGCTGAATATATGGCTAGTATATTTATCAGACTGGCCGATTTGTTGGCTTTATGGCAAAATTATTGAACTAGTTCATGGGGTGAACAAAAACCAACAAACATAACTGGAGGGGCACAACCTTGCACTTCTTTTGTGAATAAGTTTGCCGAATCTTGGCCAGTTGATTTATTTTTGCGCTACATCATTGGGTTGAGCGAAGCAACATTCTGAAGGAACTCATGGCATTTACATTATTGTACCGTCCAACATAGATATTCCCCTAAAGCTGTCCATTTAAGTCTCGGATTGGCGGAGTACACTCTCGTAGCTGGTCTTTTGCAACACATTATCAGCTCAAGCAACACATTATCAGTTCAAACGATTATGCCCACAAAAAGAAGGTTTCACCCTTACAATCCCCAGCCAGTTGTGGATAAATGGACACTTATTCAAGCGCTACTCGTTCCCTGCACATCATGTTCTTGTCATCCCCGAGTCTTATTGATTGCATCTAATGATCAACGGGTAATTTATCGTGTGAACCGTTCGTTGGGCTAAAACTTATGTCTGTTGCTAAGATCCTCTCTTTTTTGTGAGATAAATTTACTGTTTCGCCATTGAAGCCCGGTTCTCTGCTGCCCACTTCACGTCCTCCGCAGTGACTTCAAATGCCTGCCGGAAGCCATCTCAGAGAGGAGTGTGCAGTTCACTGCATCGCTGGCACGTTGCTACCTATGGTTTCGTAGTTGCAACTGAGCGGCAATACTACCACGGAGGGCCCGATAAAAACTTGTGGGCCCAGTCCATGAAGCGCTCGGCTCTGGTCCAGATGTAATTGGAACATCCAGACCAGGAGCCGTGCTGGTCATATCCCCAATCCTGGAAGGCAAATCGACTGCTGTTGTTTTGCATTGCTGCTGTCGTTTCATCTGATTCCCCGCCCGTCCTCCTTTAAATGCCACATGCGAACTGTGGGCGGAAAGATTGCGATCACCCGGCGGTCGCCTGCACACAGACGCCCAACTTGATTGCAACTCACAAGTGCATGATAGCAAGTGTAGTTGCCAGGCCTGGCTTTGCTTGTGCCACCGCAAAACAAAAGGCAACAAGCGGCGAAGCCGACCAGGACAACCACGGGGAGTCCTGCACATATGAAATTTGAATGTTACCTTCTTGCATTCATGAAAACTAGCTGAGGCGACGACGCGGGGGTTTTCGGCAACATGCTGCCAAATACATTTGACAGCAGTGCCTTTTGGAGTCAAGCAGAGCTTGAGCTCCGCAGCGCCCCGAAACAGGCAACCTGCAACACGCTGCCCTTTGAATTTATATGGCTGTGCCCCATGTCTGCTGGATTAGCTCTTATCTCCAAATTCATTCCGCAAGTTTGATGGACTAGCTACGATATGACATCATTATGTCCCATGTGTTTCCACCTTGAATCCATGACACCGAGGCCCCTCCCAGCTGTAAGTTGGTTCATAACACCACCTCACGACAGGTATATCTTGTGTAAATCCTGGTGATTATAGCTATAAACCAACTTAACCTATCGCTTCTGAGCCCCTTTCTGTAGTGTTTTTGTTTTTCATACCAGTATTCCAGGATATTATAGGTATTCCAAGTCCCAGATGACTTCTTTCGGAACATCCCCTTAAAAATAACCAGCTTCCAATCCATTCCAACAGATTTTTACAGATCTTCCAGTGACGAGCAACGCCTCCGGCAGCCCACCGACCACCGCCGTCTCCGTCGGAGACTTCCGGCGGCGCTTCAGCTGGAAGAGGCGCGCCGGGAGCAGGTCATCCCAATGGGGGCCTGGTCGCATCACCGATGCGGATTTTGTCTTTTTTCTTGTGGAGAAAAAAAGGGTGACTTTTTGTGATGCAAAAAAACAAGAAGATGATTATATGATATATATGTGGATGATTTTTTCTGATCATAGTGATATGGGGGTTGTACACTCCGAAATGTTGAATGATATTGGGCTTAGTACTAATGGAAATGGATGGAAATGGTGAATTATATGAGTTGTGTCCTTACGAATTTCGGGAGGCCACACTCACATGCTGAGAACAGGGCACCAAGCCGTGGAAAACAAGATTCTAAGCAACAGGTTTCCCAGGACCAAACTGATGGTAGAGTAGTTGGTGAAAAGACTGAAGAAATATAGCGATGATTTTTAAAGCGATAACTAGGCTATAAATCAGATATATTCCGACCGCAAAAGCCAGATGAACGGGGGCACCCTTCATCGCTTGGATAACCATCTTTGAAATGCAAGTTGTGATTGTGAAGCCTGGTTCGGTTCGCCCCCGATTTCATTTTGTAGCGCTAAAATTAACCCAAAGTTGACTATAGGGAGACTGGCCGAAACTGTTTTTGAATCCTCTGGTACTCAAGAAATGGAACATCCCTGAGATTATCGATTGATTGCGCATTCAAATGACCAGTTAAAGTTGGTTTATAAACCATCATAACCCCCATTAATTATATATTATATATATATAGTTATATCTATACCATCAACCAAAGAATTCAGCCACTTCTAAGGCAACTGACTGCGAGCTCGAATGAAGGCCATGATCAGTGCTGGAGGACATAAGGCAACTGATCGCAGCGGTGCCTGTTCCAGTGGTAGGATTCAGGTAAATCCTTGGTGCCAGGCCGGTCGAAACGGTCCCCGAAAGTCGATGAAAAAAAAGGTCAGAGGGCCCCTTTTTAAAGAGAATCCCGGGGGAAACCCAGGATGAAGTTCCAGAAAATGTTCCATGGTAACATGATGTACCAATTGTCATGTTTCGCAGTTTCGGTGTCCTAATTTGTTTTCCTCAAGCTGGGCTTGCTAAATCACAATGGTTTAGTTCGTGGTCAACTCCCCATCTTTTGGTTGTTATTGGAATCCTTGTGCCAGGCAAGATGGAAATGGAAAAATGTACCCCTGACTACAGTTTAAATTAGCATAATAGTCTATAATACTTATGATCACCATAAACCTTCATTATTCATGGTGTTTTTTTCCAGTTCTAAAGTGACTCTAAAGCAACTTCACTAACCACCTACCTGATGCACCATCAGTCTACCCTCTGGTAATTTAACATAGCTATTGAAAATGACCATCTATAGTGGAATTTCCCATTGAAAATGGTGATTTTCCATAGCTATGTTAGTTTACCAGAGGGTACCCGTCCCAGATCCTCCGAGTTTCCGTTCGCAGTACGTCAGGAAGCCGTTGCTTGCCACGTGTCGCTCCTCCACCACCGTGCAGCCGATCGGCGTCGAGAGCTGGTCGCAGAGCTCGGTGGAACGGGTGAAGGCCCAGGACGCGAAGGGAGATGCCTCGGAAAAAACGGTGCTGACTATAACTATAGTTACCAAGTTGTATAGGGATTGAGAATGGTATGATAGTGGAATAATTGACACATATAATTATATTCAAATGTAATATGTATATATATTTATTTATTTAATATAGTAGGGATTAATAGTAATAGTATAGATAGGGATTGACAATTATCAATCATACCGTTGATATCAGATGTCATGACACGAAAGGAGATATCCATAGTTATAGATAGGGATTGATAATGGTATCATGATAATGGGAAAATCGTGGAATAATGGACACATATACTTATATAATTGGACGATCGAGAAAGGTGGTTGATAACTATGTTAACTATGGTTTATGGTCATTCCCAGAGTCACATTTCGACCTTAAAACCCCCCCTCCTGTTGACAGGGGGTTTTAAGGTAGAAATGGCCATATCGACTTGATATCCCCAAATCTAAGGTTTCTTCAAACTCTTAAATGGAGATTGTTGATGTTTTTGGTAAGTTAAGGGGTGAAAACTTGATACGTATGTTAGTCCTGCAGTTTTAGGCTCTGAACCCCTACAGAGTTCACTCTCTTCTTGTTCCCGGTTTGTGTCGGTTTGGGCCTTGGTTTGTGCATATGGGGCTGCACTTGGCAATGTATGTTTCAGTTTCATGTCGTTGCTTTTTGAACGATATAATAATGTAAATAGATATATTATATATATATGTATATACCATTGTTTTTTACACAAGGCACATTTATTGGGCACAATCATTAGGCACATGCATGCATGAGGCATGGACATGAGGCACATGAATGAGGCCATGCATGAGGCACATGCATGAGAAACATGCATGAGGCACACGCATGAGGCAACATGCATGAGGCACATGCTGCATGAGGCACATGAGGCATATGCATGTTCCGAGGCACATGGGGCATGTACATGAGGCATGGACATGAGGCATGGACATGAGGCATGGACATGAGGCACATGCATTCATGAGGCCCGAGGTCATTGCACACATGTAGGATTCATGCTTCACGTCTTCTGTTTCATGCATGAGGGACACATAAACAGGCATGCATAGAATGTTTTGGCCCAAGCGGTATGACCAAAAGAAACGCAGAAGAAGTTGAGCCTGAAGTGGACCCTGCGGAGGCGCCTTTTTATGGGGCGCACCCATCATAGTTTGTGTTTGTTTTTTTGGCTGTGGGTGCATATTGTAAGCGGGTGCCAGGGGCATGCCAGCGACACCCGGCCAGTGACTCTTCTTGTTTGAGCCCTGGAGCTGTGTGAAGTTGTAGTTTGTGTGCCTCATATTGAGCTGAGGCTGCTGGAAGAGGGGCGAGGGCCAAAGGTCCAAATGGAACACCTCCACAGAAAAGGCCCAACCACGGAGAGCCACAAGGCACAGAAGAGTACCTGGAGACTCTTGCTTTTCCCAAAGGAAAAGCTGCCCAGGAGCTTTTTTTTTGGGGCAATATAGTTTCCCCGGAGATTGCCACAGGTTCATTTTTGAATGTTTCCTTCTAGTATTTTCGCTGTGCAGGAGATGTGGAAACAAGCTGTCCGAAACCGGGAGCCGAAGTCAATGCCAGCGCCAGTTGGCAAAGCTGCAGCTGGGCCTCCACCAAAGGGCCCGCTGGGACAGGCTGCTAAGGCTGCTAAGGCGAAGCCTTTGTTACCAACCCCAAAGGGCAAGGAGGCGCCTCCAAAACGCGCAGCTTCAGAAAGACAAGCAGCCTCGGGACAAGAAGAACCTTTCACCTTCAGGATGGTTCTTTGCAGATAGATGTCAGATGGAGTATTTGTTTTAAGCGTGGATGCTTGCAGGACAGCAGATGGCAAAGAGGTTCGAATTAACCCACCTCCTCCCAAGCCGAGTTCGCCACCTTTGGGTTGGAGGTGGGTCTTGTTGTTTGACCAGCTGGTTTTGTTTGTTGGTTTGTTGTATGGCGCAGATACATCTGCGAGCCACCTCCGCCTTGTTGGCCTGGGCCTCATATTCCACCTGTCACCCAGAAGATGAAAGAAACATTTTTTTGGTTCTCAGGACACAGCCATGGACTTGGTGAGAGATGCCAGGGCTTGCGTGTTAGAGGGCTAGATGACGACGTGCGATGCAGTGGAAAAATGCAATCTGTGAGGGGGGCATGCGCGTAAATGAGGTTGATCAGCTGTTTGCATGCATGCTGCTCTATTTTTCGGAATGCCTGCAGCATGCCTGCAGCATGCCTGCAGCATGCCATACACAGAAGGTCGATTGCAAGTGCCACCTGTGAGGTCATGAGCGATCATGTGTGAGCCTGGCCCTTGGTGACTTTTTAGGTCTTTTTCTTTGGTTGAGTTGTGCCGTCCAGGTTGAATGCCAAAGGACTTTGCCGGGGCCTCAGAAACGTGAAACGACCAAACGTGAAATAGCCAAACATGAAAACCAATCCGTGTAGGAATGATTACCATGCATGCATGAAAGTTCATGTCATTTCATTACATGTTACCGAGTTTCATGTTCTGTTTTTTCAATGTAACCATGCACGCATGAGAGGGACACAGGCATACATGACACATGAAACAGCATGCATGCATGACCACGAAACCATGCATGCATGAGACTGAAACGTCATCCATGCATGAAAACGAAGCCATGCATGCATGAAACGGCCACGCAGACATGTTTTTTCCCATGCATGCATGTACAAGCATGAAGTTAAACCATATGGTCTTGTCAATCTGCAGGTTTTCAGGAAATGGCGCAGGAGCAGTCCTTCTTCCAGTGCCCCAATGCTGTTTCTGTCAGGGGCTTTCAGGGTTTCACCTTCCCAATTTAACTGCAGCTGGCTAGCCCAAAATGCCTCGGCAACTTAAGCAGTTGCAAGCGGCTCCCGACTTGGTAGAGCAATACCGCAATGCGTTCAACAAAGAGCCACGGTTGAAAGAGGCCAGGGGCACAGATTTGTTTAATGAAGGTCATTGAAGAATTTCAAGACAGATGTGTTTATATGGAAGTGGGTTTTTCCTTCATCACTGCCCACTCCGAGCAGTTGTTCAATCCCAAAAAGGAGGCTACATTGAAAGATGTAGCTTTGAATCCGGAGGCCGCATGGGTTTAGACATGTACATGCATGACTTCTTTGTTACTGTGCAGCCAAGATTGAGTTTTAACTTTGAAAATGCTCGTTGCTTTGCAGGTGGTATTTGCCATCATGAGCGTCAGTCCCCACGAACTTCGTCTGAGCGACGAGACAATTGCCAAGGCCATAGTGGACTTCTACAAGTCGAGCAACTTGTTGCCACCTGGGATCAGTGTTTCAGCTTTGTCAGATTGGGCTGGCAAAATGGCCCACGGAGCCAGGAAGGTGACTGGAAAATTCAGACGCCTCTATGCTGCGACGCCTGAGAACTCCAAGGACCCAGCACTGAGAGATTTGAAATTTCGGTGCCAGGAAGCTGGCATACCTACTGCTCCTGGCTGTGACAACTCCGACAAGAGTGCTGACTCTCGTCCAGCGTCTCATGAGGATTTGGAAGAAGTGAGCTGTTCAGCACCTTCTTGGACGGAAGCTTTGAAAAACAAATTGTTGGCCAAAATCAAGGAGAAGGAAGCTGCACAGAAACAAGCCGCTACTGCTCGACCTGTTGCTACTCCAAGCCGCAACAGCCATGAGGTTCCAAAGTTTGTGCTTGACAAGTTGGCTGAGAAGACTCCGGGGGTGGCACCCTTTGTCGCCACAGCTGCAGAGGAGGAACCTGTAGTGAGGGAGCCAGGCAAGGACAAAAAAAAGAAGGCACCAAAGTCCAAGAGCAAAAAAAAGAAGGCTGAGATCACTGGACCTGAGGTCGAAGCAGCTCTGCAACTGGAGGAACCAGTTGCCAATGGGCAAAGCAAGGCTGAGGCTGCGCCAGCTTCGCGAATGGCTGAGGATTCAGGGGAGCTATCTGGTGCCATTCGTTACTCACCAAAAAAGTTCAGTGCTGCCAAGAAGGCATTCATAGTGGACATCAGAGCCAAAGATGGCCTGAACTACCAAGACGCTTTGGCTGCTTGGATGAGAAGTGACCTTCGGTCAGAATATTTGGAGACCGTGCCTGAGAAAGAGCTCAAACGGCGCCGTTTCATGTAGGGACCATGAATCTCTTACCTGTGGAATAGCCACATGTTAAGAGAGAACGAGCTTGACGTCCAAGCTGACAATTTGGGGAAAAATGTTAACCCAAAGTGTTCTTACGTTTGGCTTGGTTCTTGCATGCTGCACTATATATTCCAAAGAGCAAACATCACATGGCTTGACAGTGGCAAATCTTGCTCAATTGGTTTCCGTTTACCTGCCTGCGACAAAATGGTGGTGGCAGAAATGTTGCAATGGAAAGCGCCGGCCATCTTACTTTTGGCAATTCTGCATTTGGTGCACACCCCAGAATTGGAGAGTTCAGAGGCCAGGTTTTTGAGTGCTGCTTTGTACATCCATGGCCTGCTCTGAAGCGCATATACACTAGACAGATGATTGATAGAATGGATGTGCAGTCATCAATTTTGATCTCATAGATTTACTTCTGCATGATCTTGTGACATCCTTGCGCAGGTTTACGATTTTGTGGAATACTTCAGCGGGGCTGCTGTTCTAACAGCTTCGCTCAGACGAGTCCGTGCCCCAAAATTTTCATTTTTTCAGGGGCAGCTGCTTGATCCCTGAGGCTGGCTTCTGTGGCGTCGGCTTGGATTGCAACCTGGACGGGCATGGTACATTTGACTTCTTGACGCCTGCTGGCTTCGTGTTCGGGGCTTAGACTTGTTTAGCCATTGAACGCATCCAAGCTTGCCCACATGTTGACATGTGAGGCTATGTCTGCAGGGTATCAGAAGATCCAAAGAGAATGCCCTACACTTCCTGGGCCTGGCGTGCAATTCGTTTTGTGTGCCGCAGCCAAGCTGACATCTATTTGAATATTTCTGATTGTGAGCACCATCCTTCTGGCAACCCACCGCAATTTGTGAAATCTCAGGTCTTCTGGATCCCA